AAAAAGCGCAGCCTTAGTCAAATTAGTGTTAAAAAAATCATCTAATTCAGTAGGGTTAGGTGAGGCTTCGGAGGTATACAGAGATTGGTAAAATTTGCTGAAACACAGATTAATTCCTGCATTCTCACATTATTTTACACCATGCTTATCATTTATTGCTGAGATATCCTGTTTAGCTGAGCGCTGCCATAGCTGCTGTGCGAGAAGGCGTCCAGCCCTCTCACCATGCTCATAGTAGCCATACCTAGATTTNGGTGGTGCGCAGAGAAACAACCTCATCGGACCAGGTCGACAAGCTGTCCTCCACCTCTTTTACGCTCTGTTTCACGTGGTTCAGGTCGGCGCTACCGTTAGCCACTTCCGCTCTCACCGCTTGTAGCTCCCCTTTAACAAGAGTAAACTCTTCAGCCAAAGCTGCTTTTATTTCYGATTTGTTCACAGCTGAGAGATCGGTTTTTATAGCGGCAAGAATGTCAGACTTCAAGGACAGTGTGTCCGCCTCGCTGCGGGAGGGAGAGGGGGGCGCCGAAACTCCGGTCCTAGCTGCAGTCTGCTCCGAGGTGGCYTCYGGCCTAACAGCCGCKGAGCTWGAATGTTTGCCTTTCCTSGAGTTTGTCYCCATTCTTCTACTCTTCCASGCAAGAATCACTCAGGGYTKGAGTCCGGACGGACCAAATGTTTAAAACATCAAGGACATTTAGTGTAGAACCACAAACAGAACAAGTCGGAGCGGGAGCCACGCGACACACGTCTTACTCCTCCGCCATCTTGCCCCGCCTCTTTATTACAGTTTTAATACAACTTTACTACAGTTTTAATACAGCTTTATTACAGTTTTAATACAGTTTTAAAAAGTATTTCAGTATAATTTGTTTACTTTTTATAGTGCCAAATTGCAAAAGCAATCATCAAGATGTAATTTAAAAAACAAGAACATGTTTTTGTAATTTTTACACTTCAGTCTAAACCCATATAGATTTGTCATTTTATGTCATTTTATTTTATTTATTTATTTACCGTTATTAACCAGGCAAGTCCTCTGAGATCTCAGATCTCTTTTTCAAGGGAGGCCTGGAGGCAACCTATTGTACATGTTTTTAGGGGTGGGGGAAACCGGAGAAAACCCACGCAAGCATGAGGAGAACATGCAAACTTCACACAGGTCCGAAAAATATCATTTATCAATTATGTCCTATAACAGCATCTTAAAGATGAGTAATTAAATAAAAATTTTGAGGTGTAGCAAGAAAAGAGTAAGAGAATCTGGAGACAAACTAGTCCAACAAGCTCTAACCCTCCAAACCAGGGCTTTGTAAACTTTTCATCTCCTTTCTGTTTTTTATAATAAATATGGCAAAAAAAGGATTTTAGCAATCATTTTTCACTTTAACTTAATTTCTGGAGATCATCTCAGGACCCCTCATGCTGTTTTATGCCCTGCAGTGAAGTCCTAACCCTTAACCACTGCTTAAAGCACTTCATTTTTGTAACCAATCAAATAAAAAGAGTTAGGCTGTTATGTAACATCATAAGTATCCTGGAATTCCTGTAAAGCAGACAAAGCATGTGTCACTTTAAAGAGCTGCTGCTGTAGGCAACTTGTGGAAAATATTCTTTCAGAGTTACCCAGAAGGCACTGCTGTGTTGTCCGCCTGCAGCAACACAAACTTATCAGAAAAGGTGTGTCTAACCACAACAGTAAGCTCTCTGCTCTCAGCTCCATTAAGTCTGGTTTTAAGGTCATAAAATTGCCCAAGATGGCCTTCCTCCATGCTCTAATGCAAACTGAGTGCTGATAGTTCTCCTGTGTTCTGCTCTTATTTGGATGTGTAGGGCTGCTTCTCAGTCTGTCTGAAAAATTTAAAATAAATTATCACACTTGGAACCATGTTCTTTAAATAATAGGAGCCCTTTAAGCAAATCTAATGGGTTTTGTTGACTCAGTGTACACCTGGTCACACCTCTTTTCACTGAAGCCTTTTCCCTGAAGGATTAATGGTCTGTTATAGTCTGAACCCACTGGTTTGGGATTTCTTCTGTTCTGGTTTTGAAACAAAACCAGCTTGAGTAAAATCCTTCACAGCACCTATTGTTGGAAGTGAAAGATGATAGATGATAATGGTTTAGTTGCAAACATTGTCAATGCTAATGAGACGTTGCTGTACAGGATGTAGTAAAAACATTTCTAGATAAACTGATGAATCAACTAGGCCTGTCGCTACAAACAATTAATCAGTCTCATGATGAATTAAAATGAGATCAGTAGTTTTCATTTGCTTGCTTGTTTGTTTTCTTTGTGTCTTCCTAGGCATTAAGTTAGGGGAGCATTTTTGGTGTTTGATGGGTTCTTTCAGCTGGCAACACCTCAGTGTACCTCAGGGCAAAGTTCTGAACCTAGGGTTCACAAAGAGTTTTCTTTTACACTACGGAAATTTTGTAAACTGGGAGCAGCGTGATGGTGATCACACTTATTCTTTAAAGCCAAAGGAAACCACATGGGCCAAAGAATAAGTTGTGCTGATTGGATAGAGGAGGGTAGGGATGTTACAGCTTCAGCAGCTGTTACAAATATAAAAAAAAGATACTAAAATGTTTGTGCATCATGTAAACTGCTTCAATCATTGACTTTAAAGATTACATTTATGTGCACTGGATTATTATTGTTATTATTTTCCTGTGTTTTTACACTAAATTGCACATTCAGGAAATGTTCTTGTCCAAAATCTAAATATCTCCTCCTGTGCTCTTGTTTCAGGAGATCATTTGCCAGAAGAACACTGTAAGTACACCAAACATTGCATCCTCGCCTTTTGCCTTTTCACACATTACTCACCAGTCGCTCACACATCTCACACATTATTTGGTGCAAAGAACATGCTGTTTTTCACATTCAGGGGATGCTGAGCCTCTGAAGCCTTGTTTGTCTTCGCGGTGTTAGAAAAAGGTTTGTCACTCCTGGAACCAGAAACATAAAACACATTTCAGAAGAGATGCAGTCAACTTGTTTGACTGCAGGAAGGACATACAAGTCTTTTAGAAAATTTGACTTGCAAAGACTGGAGCATTCAAATGAGGTTCTGCCAGAAAGTGAGGAAATCCTGTTTTTAACTGACACAGATTGGACGTTTTGTTACATTTAAACTCATCATACTTCAGTGCTGTGGACATTTCAGGGCTYTCTGATTATAAAAAACAACACTTGCATGCACTTCGTGCAGGGAGTTCTTGCACTCCTTRAAGAATCTTTATGTTGCATTCAGTGGCGTAGCCAGAAATTGATTTTAGGCTGAGCRTGAGAAAAAACGTGTGGGCCAGATCAGGGGTGCCTGATTTTACCAGAGGGTACACACAAAACCATCACCGCACCTGACCCACACAAATACAGGCCACATGGGCGCAATGCACTTGGCACACAAAAACACCAATGTGACACCACACACCTAACAACATCACACACCTAACAACATCACACACCTAACAACATCACACACCTAACAACCAGGTCCCGACTAACAAAAGGCCACATGAGTGCGACACGCATCACATGGCGCTGAAAAACAGCTCTTCTGTCACTCACACACACACACACACACACACACACACACACACACACACACACACACACACACACACACA